TAAATTATAAATTCAATTCCCTGAATAGTTTAGGGCTATTCAAATGATCTGCTTTAGATTGGTGAATTGTAGAAGTTTGTGTTTTCCTAGAAACTGACCCATTTTATCTAAGTCGTCAAATTTGTATGTGTAGTGGTGCACACAGCATGCTCTTGTTAAAAATTATTGATGCATTATACTTATATGTAATAATGGGATTCATTGTGACATATTTGAACATTCCCATGACATCATTTGGTCATCTTATTTTTTAAAAATATTTTGACATACAAACAAGGAGTACATCCTGTTCTAATTAGGATCCCAGTCTTGAGGTTGTACATGGTGTGGAGATCCACTGTGGTGTATTTATATATTTATGTGAGAAAGTTAAGTGAGATTCATTCCATGGTGGTTCCTATTCCTGTCCCCCCTCCTTTCCCTTCATTCCCCTTTGTTTAATCTACCGAATTTCTATTCTTCCCCTTCCCCCTTGTTGTGTATTAGCATCCACATATTAGAAAGAAGATTTGGGCTTTGGTTTTTAGGGATTGGCTTATTTCGCTTAGTATAATAGTCTTCAGATTCATCCACTTTCTGGAAAATGTCATGGAGTCATTCTTTTTTAATGGCTGAGCAACATTCCATTGTGTATATATACCACAGTTTCTTTATTCATTCAACTGTTGAAGGGCACCTAAGTTGGTTCCATAGCTTAGCTATTGTGAATTGAGCTTCTATAGACATTGATGTGGCTGTGTCACTGTAGTATGCTGATTTTAAATCCTTTGGGTATATACCAAAGACTGGGGTAACTGGGTCAAATGGTAGTTCCATTCTAAGTTTTCTGAAGAATTTCCATACTGCTTTCCAGAGTGGTTGTACCAATTTGCAGTCCCATCAGCATTGTATGAGTGTGCCTTTTCCCTACATCATCACCAACATTTATTGCTACTTGTATTCTTGGTAATTTTCATTCTGACTGGAGTGAGATGGAAACTCAGTGTAGTTTAATATGCATTTCCCTAATTGCTTAAAATGTTGAACATTTTTTTCAATATTTCTTGACCATTCATATTTCTTCTGTGAAGTGTCTGTTCCTTTGCCCATTTATTGATTGGATTATTTGTCTTTTGGTGTTAAATTTTCTAAGTTCTTTATATATGGAGATTAATGCTCTGAGATGAAGGTGGCAAAGATTTTCTCCCATTCTGTACGCTCTCTGTTTGCATTCTTGATTGTTTCTTTTGCTGGAAGAAACTTTTTAGTTTGATACCATCCCATTTGTTGATTCTTGATTTTACTCTTGTGCTTTAGGAATCTTGTGGAGGAAGTTGGTTCATAAGCTGACATGATGGAGACTTGAGCCTACAATTCCTTCTAGTAAGCACAGGGTCTCTGGTCTTAATGCCTAGGTCCTTGATCTGCTTTGAGTTGAGATTTGTGCAGGGTGAGAGAGAGGGATTAAATTTCATTCTGCTATACATATGGATTTCCAGTTCTCCCAGCGCCATTTGTTAAAGAGGCTCTTTTCTCCAATGTATGTTTCTGGCGTCTTTGTCTAGTATGAGATAACTGTATTTATGTGAGTTTGTTTCTATGTCTTCTATTCTGTACCATTGGTCTTCACGTCTGTTTTGGTGCCAATACCATGCTGTTTTGTTACTATAGTATAATGTTTTTAGAGGGAATGCTTTCAGTTCTTCTCCATTCAGAATGATGTTGGCCTTGGGTTTAAAGTATATAGCTTTTACAATGTTGAGATATTTTCCTATCATCCCTAGCTTTTCTAGTGTTTTGGACATGAATGTATGCTGTATTTTTTCAAATGATTTTTCTTTTATTTTATTATTTTATATTTATTATTTATATTATTATTATTATTTTATATTATTATTTTATTGATTTCCATATGTTGACCTAACCTTGTATCTCTGGAATGAAGCTTACTTGATGATGGTGTACTATATTTTTAATGTGTTTTTGTATATGATTTTCCAGTATTTTAATAAGAATTTTTGCATCTATGTTCATCAGGCACATTGGTCTAAAGTTTTCTTTCCTTGTTGTATCTTTGTCTGGTTTTGGAATCAGGGTGATACTAGTTTCACAGAATGAATTTGCAAGGGTTCCCCTTTTTCTAGTTCATGGTCTAGTTTGAGGAAGATTGGTGTTAATTCTTCTTAGAAGGTCTGATATAACTTGGCTAAGAATTCATCTGGTCCTGGGCTTTGCTTTGTTGGTAGGCTTTTGATGGCATCTTCAATTTCATTGATTGAAATTAATCTGTTTAAATTTTCTATGACCTCCTGATTCAATTTGGGTAGGTCATATGTCTCTAGAAATTTGTTGATGTCTTCAAGGTTTTCTATTTTATTGGAGTATACATTTTCAAAATAGTTTCTGATTATCTTCTGAATTTCAGTGGTGTCTGTGGTGATATTTCCTATTTCATAACTAATTTTAGAAATTTGAGTTTTTCCCCTCTTTCTCTTGGTTAGCATGGCTAAGGGTTGATTAATTTTATTTTTTCAAAGAATCAACTTTTTGTTTCATTGATTTTTTGTTTCAATTTCATCCCTAATTTTAATTATTTCTTGTAGTCTACTGCTTTTATTGTTGATTTGTTCTTCTTTCTCCAGGCCTTGTGAGATGTAATGCTACGTTATTTGGCAACTTTCTATTCTTTTAGTGAATGAACTTAGTGCTATGAACTTTCCTCTTAGAACCACCTTCATAGTGTCCCAGTGATTTTGATATGTTGTGTTACTATTCTCATTTTTAAATTTCATCCCTGATTTCTTTTGCTATCCATTGATAATTTAGTAGCATATTATTTAGTCTCCAGGTGTTAGAGTAGCTTCTAATTTTTATTACATCATTGATCTCTAATTTCATTTCACTGTGATAGGATAAAATGTAATACATTATCTCTATTTGTTTTGTGTTTGCTTTGTGGCCTTAGATGTGGTCTATTTTTAGAAAATGATCTGTGTGCTGCTGAGAAGAAAGTGTATTCTGATATCGATGGATGAAATATTCTATATGTCTATTAAATTTAAACTATTAATTGTAGTTTTTAGTTCTATGGCTTCCTTGTTTCTAGACTATATATTTTGTCTTCATTGACTGAAACTCTGTCTTCCAAGTGGTCTAGTATAATAGTGTTGCTTTCCATTGAGTTTTTAATTTGGTTTATTGATTCCTTCCTTTTGAGAATCTCCAATTGATTCTTCTTCGGGATCTCTGTCTCCTTGTTGAAGTGACCTTTTACTTCTTGGGTTTTTCTGATTTCACTCCTTACATCATCTTTTACCTCATATATCAGTTTAAGTCTGATCTTTCTAAATCCCTTCTCTGACATTTCATCCACTGTGATATCACTGGAGCCTGGTCAGGAGGTATTTTGAATTGTTTGAGATGGTTTGCTCCCTTGCTTTTTCATGCTATTTGCATGTCTACCCATTTATCAGTAGAAATCAGAGATGGCAGAGCTTCTACCCTATGGATTTATAGTGTTCCTGAAGGTTTCTAGTACCTCACAATTTAGGGGTAGACAAATAATAACCAGCAATGCAAACAATATTCAGCATTAAACTAAATACTTGGTTCCTATTTTGTCATCTACAATGTTAATTAGCACTATAAACAGAAATGTAACCAGTTGCCCAAAGTTGAGATATTATGTTTAAAAACAGTTTTGCTTTTTCAAAAAGGTGAAGAAGAAGAATGCAGAGGAGATTTAGGATGTAATAAATGAGAGTGAGTATGAGAAAGAGTAAAGAGATAAAGACTGAAAGAAAGAACAATAGAATTTGGCTGTTAGTGAAAGAGGATGAGAATCAAGAGAAATAGACAGGAGAAAAACAATATAAAACAACAACAACAACAACAACAACAAAAACAATGTAAAACAAAACCAAGGTATACTAATCAAAAACCCTTGTTCTCAAAAGACAGAGTCAAAAACAAAAAAACAAAAAAACAAAAAACGAAAAAACAAAACACTACCTACAAGAATTGCTACAAATGAGAAGAGTAAGACATATATGTATATGTACAAATGTTTAGGACCATTCAGCACCCAAATTAAAAAAAAAAAAAAAGGAAAAAGATGTTGGTTTTTTTTGGTACTGGGGATTGACTTAACTTAACCACTGACCCACATCCCTAGCCCTTTTTATTTTTTATTTAGAGGCAGGGTCTCACTAAGTTGCTTAGGAGCTTGCTAAGTTTCTGAGGCTGGCTTTGAACTTGCAATCCTTCTGCCTCAGCCTCCCAAGCTGTTGGAATTGCAGGCATGCACCACTGTGCCCAGCAGAAAAAGGTTTTTGATGGAAGATTAGGAATTGTTTTCATTGAAATGGTCACAAATTGTCTATAATAGTATATGTTGGTTGTCAGGTCCCAGCTGTCTTTGTTTCCATTTTTTTTTTCTTGAGGCATGTACTGTGTGCAATTGTAGTAGTCAGGGGCTGTCAGTTCTTTCTTCTTTTTGTGGAACTAGTCAGGTTGACCATTCTCAGCTTCCAGTCTTGGCAGTAGGAGGTGGGGCAGGTGGGAGGGCGTTGTCTACTCCATTCACAGCAAGTTCCCTGAAAGTGGTTCCTAGAGGCTGAGCTCCTGGAGGTGCAGCTCGACCCTCAGTGCTTTGCAGAATGATGTCTGGTGAAGCTTTTAAATCAGCACAGCTCCAGAGCCTGGCTGCTTCTGATCAATGCTAGGCACCTGTACCAGTGGAATTCCCCTGGGTTTTCCTTGAGTGGTGAAGGAGCCAATCCTTCATCCTCCTCTGACCCCCATTTCCCAGCCTTCTGGGCTCAATCCCAAAGGGTACATTCAGTCCACCTGGTCCCCCAAGTTCCTGGTTGTCCCCATGGAGTCCTGCAGACTGTCGGACTCAAAGAGTGAGAGGCACCCAGGCAGGATCTCTGAGGTCTGAGCGTCTTGAATTCCCCTGGGTGCAACACTTTCCACGCCTGAATTTAACCTGTCACATTCTAGTCACACTCTGGGTCACGTAGTGAGCCTCTGCCAGGACTGGTTTTCAGACCCGGGTGAAATTACAAGGTCTGGGCACCTGGGTTTGGAGGGGCACCTGGGTTTGGAGGGGCACCTGGGTTTGGAGCCACACCTGCCGGCCACCGTAGTGCAGCCGGAAATATGGCAGCTGCCTGGCTCTCAGCGGGCTACTGGGAGGCGCTCAGCGGCCCTCTCACAGGAGGACAAAGTGCAGCTCACCCACTGGATCAGCTCAACAATGTCCCGATCACCGTGCTCTCCGCTTCAAGACACGCCAGGGTGGTAATCCAAAGTGTGGGCTCTCTTGGCGCCCCTTTCCCACCTGCCCATGATGGTGGGTCCACATCAGCGGCTGCGGTGCCCGGGGTGAGTTTTTTCCTTTTTTTTTTTTTTTTTTTTTAAATCTACTTTATTTTATCAACCTTTTGAGCCCCTAGGCAGTGCTGAAAGTCCAGTATTAAATCCCGCAGGGTTCTGTCCTGGTCTCGCCTCAGGGAGCCGCTTACACGGTCGCCTTCTCCACGCCGCCATCTTGGGCCCCGTTGGCCTCTTGACGTCCGTGTCCTGCGGGCGTTTGTGGGTTCGGTGGGGACGTCCCTGTTTCTGATGTGGTGATTTGTGTCCTCTCTCTCTCTTTGTAGTTCCTGTTAGGGTTTGTCAATTTCATCGATTTTTTTCAAAGAACATTTTTTTTTTTTTTTAAATTTTTTTTTTTTTTCTTTCCCTCCTTTGGTTGCTTTTTGATTGCTTTTCCTGGGTTCTGGAGGTGGGTGCTTAGATTATTATTTGAGACTTTTTCTCTTTTCTATGTTTCATTTTGGTACTATAATTTTTTTTTTCTTGGCATAGTTTTAAACTGTGACCACAACCTTGGACAAGTTGTATTTTCATTTTAGTTTAATATAATACATTCTTAAAAAAATTGTTTTAATTAGTTGTACATGACAGTAGAATGCCCTTGGATACATCATATATAATGGAGTATAATTTCTCATTCTTCTGGTTATACATGATGTAGAGTTCAGTATATTTTTTAATTGACCTTGAGAAACTTTTGTCTTTTACTCAGGGGTTATTTAGAACAGTGCTTCTTAGTTTTCAATTGTCTGGATATTTTCCTATTGTAATTATGTTATTGATTCCTAGTTTGGTTCCCTTGTGGTTGGAGAGTACGCTGCATAATTTCAGTTATTTTCACATTTGTTTTTTTAATGGTATGGGATATGGTCTATTTGGTGTATGCTATGTGGGAACATAAATAAAATTCTGCAGTTTTGGCTGAGGTGCTTCATAAATGTTGATCAGATTTTTTTTTTGATATTTGGTTGAATATTTGTGGATATTTGGTTGAATCTTTTTTGTCTTATTTATTTTCTGTCACTTTTTTAAAAAGTTAATCACAGAGAAAGGAGCACTAAGCTCTAACTATAATGATGGATTTTTCTATTTCTTTTTCTATGATACAGGTTTATAAGATTTTACTTTACAAAGTTTGTAGGTCTTTGCTGCATGTATACTTAAGATTGCTTTTTGGGAGGTCCTTTTTGATAAACATGACAATAGAGTGTATTTTAAAAAAATATTTATGTTTTAGTTGGACACAATAGTTTTATTTTGTTTATTTTTATGTGGTGCTCAGGATCGAACCCAGGGCCTTGAATGTGCTAGGCAAACCCTCTACCACTGAGCCACAACCCCAACCCAGTAGAGTGTATTTTGACATATCATACATACATGGAGTATAACTTCCCATTCTTGTGGTTGAACATGATGTGGAGTTTCACTGGTTGTGTATTCACATCTGAACATAGGAAAGTTATGTCCGATTCATTCTACAGTCTTTCTTATTCTCATTCCCTCATCCTTCCCTTCCTTCTCCTTTGTCTAATCCAATGCACTTCTAAACTTCCCCCTAGCTAATTGTGTGTTGGCATCCACATATCAGAGAGAACATTCAACCTTTGGTTTTGGGGGATTGGCTTATTTTGCTTAGCATGATAGTCTCCAGATTCATCCATTTACAGCAAATACCATAATTTCATTCTTCTTTATGGCTTAGCAATATTCCATTGTGTATGTATACTACAGTTTCTTTATCTATTCATCTGTTGAAGGGCACATAGGTTGGTTCCATAGCTTAGCTGTTGTGAATTGAGCTGCAATAGACATTTGATATGGCTGTGTCACTGTAGTATGCTGATTTTAAGTCCTTTGGGTATATACCAAAGAGTGTGATAACTGGGTCACATGGTGTTTCCATTCCAAGTTTTCTGAAGAATCTCCATACTGCTTTCCAGAGTGGTTGCACCAATTTGCAGTCTGTCAACATTGTATGAGTGTGCCCTTTTCCCTACATCCTCACCAACATTTATTGTTACTTGTATTCTTGGTAATTGCCACTGAGATTTACCGATTTACCACTGAGCTACATCTTCAGTCCTTTTTATTTTTTATTTAGGGACAGGATCTTGCTAAGTTGTGAGGCTGGCCTTGAACTTCTGATCTTCCTGTCTCAGCTTACTGATTTGCTAGGATTACAGGCATGCACCCCATGCCCCGTTGAATGCATCTATTTATATAGCTTTCTTTTAGTTATTACTCTTACATTTTAGATGCATAACTTATCATTTTCTATTGATGTAAGCATTTTGTAGAAATGAAAATGTAGAAATATTTTCTCTTTTTATGTTCCTTTATCTTCCTTTAAGTATTTCTTTAAGTATTTCTTCCATATATATTTGGAATCACATTAGATGGTGATATAATTTTTATTTCACCTGTAGAAAATTCAAGAGAAAAAGAAGTTTATTGTACTTACCTATATTTTCCTTATTTTTTAAAAAATATTTTTTAGTGTTGATGGATCTTTATTTTATTCATTTATTTATATGTGGTGCTGAGAATTGAACCCAGTGCCTCACACATGTGAGGCAAGCACTCTACCACTGAGCCACACCCCAGCCCTAATTTTCCTTCTTAATGTTCCAAGATTCCTTCTTTTACCATATCCTTTCTATCTAGATTACATTCTTGAACTATTCTTTTAGAGTAGGTCTGCTTATTATCTTTGTTTTCCTTCATTTGAGATGTCCTGGTTTTCTCTTAATTCCTAAAAGATATTTTCACTGGATACAGGATTAAGGGTTGACATTTTTTTTTTTTTTTTTACAGCACTTGAAAAACATGGCACTTTCTTCTTGTCTATGTGCTTTCTAATGAGAAATCCTCTGTCATTTAAACCTTTCATTCATTTTTCTTTTGGTCTTCATATTTTAGAAATTTGACTATGATGTGTCTTGGTGTGGATATGATTGGGTTTATTGTAGTTGAAGTTTGCTTGTTTTCTTGAGTCACTAGTAGGCTTTTGCCTTTGCCAAGTTTGGGAAGTTTTCTGCCATTTTTTCTTTGATTACTTTTTGCCCTTTACTGTTTCTCTTTTCTTTCTGGTCCTCTGATGACATGAATATTAGATCTCTTGTTATAGTTGTACAAGTGCCCGGAGGTTTATTCCTTTTTCCCCTCATTTAAAAAATTGCTACATAATACATTATGGTGAGGGTTGTTGTTATACATTCTACCTGCACAGAATATATCTGTTTCCTTTTCTTTTTATTTCTTATTTTCTGTTTTCAAGATTGGGTTAGCTTTATTGTTCTATCTTCTAGTTAAAATATTCCCCCTCTCTTCATCCTTCTATTGAGCTCATCCATTTGGTTTTAAAATTTCACTCATTATACTTTTTAGTTTTTAAAATCCACTTAGTTCTTCTTTATGTCCTCTCTTTCTTTGCAGAGACTTTCTGCTTTTTTCATGTGTACATAACTGCTTATTGAAGCATGCTTATGCAGCTGCTTTAGAAACTTTGTCAATTAGTTCTAAAATCTCTTACATCTTGTTGGCATCTATTGCCTTTTTCAGTTTGATATCTTCCTAGTTCTTGGTATGATTTTTTAAAAAATGGGAACCAGGACATTTTAGGCATTCTGATATGAGATTCTGGATATTATTTAAACCTAATGTTTTAGCTTGCTTTTTCTGACATTGTTTCAGTAGAGAAAGGGGCACTGGGGTCAAGCTACTGCTAGGTGAGGGTAGAAATCCAGGGTTTCCAGTCAGCTTCTGAAGACAGGCAAGGGGCCTCTATGGATACCACTGAGAGGGAAGGAAGGGGTGCTTCATGGCTGCTCCTCATGTGCTCCACTGTCACCGTGGGGGTGCCACTTACTACAGTGGGGATGAGGGTCCCACCTCCCTATTTGGTCTTTTCTGACACCCTCCCCCCATTGGAGAGGTTTGGGGGTGGTGAAGCTAACCACCCAAGCCTTGGTGGTGTTTTGAAGGAAGAGACCAGTTTCCCACCTCCTGTGGTGTTTGACTGAAGTACAGCAATTATTTTCTGGAAGTTTCTGTTTTTCTAGGCTGCCTATTTGGGGTCCTTTGGTTAGAGAAATCAGGTGTTGGTTGAGCCTTTGTTTATTTATGCCTGGGGACATTTCTGGGTTCAGCCTTCTTCAGCTCCAAATCTGGGAATATATGGAAAAAAGAAAACCCAGAGACCTTACCACTGCTCTGGTTTGGATTTTGAATGTTTCTCAAAGACCTGTGTTGAAGGCTTGGTCCCCAGGGTGGTGCCATTAGGAGGTGGGGCTAGTGGGATTTCCTAGGTCATTGAAGGTGTACATCAAGGGAATTAGTGGGACTCTAGCCCCTTGCTATTTCTCATCTTTGATTTTTGACCATAAGGTAGATGGATTTTCTCTGCTTTGCACTTCCACCATGATATGTTGCTTAGTAACCAGGTCAATTGATCAGGGACTGTAACCTCCAAAACTGTGACCCAAAATAAACCTTTTGTCTTACTAAGTTAATCATTTCAGGTATTTTGTTACAGATGGAAAGGTGACTAATACCACTATAATGTTATTCCTAGGGTTCTTAGATCCTTACCTGGTCCGCCTTTTTCTCTTTACCTTTTGGCGTCCCTTATTTGTGAGTATACATATTCATTCCAGTGTTTTCAGTTGTAATCAGTAGGGGGAGACGGGAAAAGTGCGTTTGCTCTATTTTTCCAGAAGCAGAAGTGTCTTGCCTTATTTTTACTTTTTTAAAGTGTGTTAGAGTCTGTAAACAAGTCTGGATGGCGCCTGGCATTTTGCCAGAGGGAGTGGTTTGTGAAGTAATGCCAGCGAGCCATTAAGTGTGGAGATTCCTTATTGGTTGACTGCTGTATCTAGTTTATGTTAATTAGGATAAGCTGTGTGGAATGTATATATACTCGTCCTGTCCTACTATAAACGGCTCCCACTCCTGCTGTATCAACGTACACAAGTTGTTCATCACCCCCGGGTTATTTTGCTGCAGCCAGA